TAGTATTTGATTTTGTGCACCAGCTGTTGTTTACAAATATACACAGACCTCCACCCCTTGTCTTACCAGAGTCAGCCGTTCTATCCTGCCGATGTAGCATATATCCCGCCAGCTGTATGTTGTCCATGTCGTCGTTCAGCCACGACTCGGTGAAACAGAAGATATTACAGTTTTGAATGTCCCGTTGGTAGGATAACCGTAATCTTAGGTCATCCAATTGATTTTCCAATGATTGAAGATTGGCTAATAGGATTGATGGAAGAGGCAGATTACTCACTCGCCGTCGGATCCTTACAAGGCACCCCGACCTACGTCCACAATATCTCAGTTTCTTCCTCATGCGAATGACGGGGATTTGGGCCTTGTCGGGTGTCTGTAGGATATCCTTCGCGGCCACCTCGTTGAAGAAAAAATCTTCGTCCAATACGAGGGAGTAATCGTGTCCTGATATCCAGAAGCTTTTTTTGGGTTATAAGAGCGTGGCAAGAAAATTATGTACAAAATAAATTACAAATAACGCGGAAAAAAAGAAAAAAAACCCAAAATGTAAAATTGGTTTAGAGGGCGAAAAAAGGAGCATTTCTCCATAAACTAAAGTGAAAAAGAACCCGACAGAAAAAAATTTTCCCAAAAAATGATCCTAAAGCAATAAGGCACAAAGTAATACTGCAAAAAAATGTGGCAAAGAAATTCACTTTTGCCTGAATAAAAAGGGGTTATGGAGGAGACATGTTTGGGGTGGGGGAAGGGTGGGGGGAAATTTAGGGTTTATGTTGGGTGGCGGGGAGGGGAAGTTTGGGGGGGAATGGGGGGGGAGTTGGGGGGCAAGGGAGGGGAGTTGGGGGGGGGGGGGGGGGGGGGGGGGGGGGGGGGGGATGGGGAGGGGGGGGAATGGGGGGGGGAGTTGGGGGGGGTGGGAGGGGTGGGGGGGGGAGGGGGGGGGTGGGGGTGGGGAGTTTGGGGGAAAGGGGAGTTTGGGGGGGGGGGGAGGGGATTGGGGGGGGGGGGAATGGGAGGGGAAGTTGGGGGGAAGGGGAGGGGAAGGTGGGGGGGGAATGGGATGGGGAGTGGGGGGGAATTGGGGGGGGGGGGGAGTTTGGGGGGGGAAGGGGTGAGGGGGTTTGGGGGGGGGGGGGGAGGGTTGGGGGGGGGGATTTTTGGGTGGGGGGGGGGGGAGGGGGGAATGGGAGGGGGGTTGAGGGGAAAGGGGGGGGATTGGGGGGGGATGGGGATTGGGGGGGAATGGGATGGGGGTTTGGGGGGGGGTTTAGGGGGAAAGGGGGGGGTTGGGGGGGAATGGGGGGAGTTGGGGGGAAGGGGGGTGGGGAGGGGTGGGAATGGGGAGTTGAGGGGAAAGGGGAGGGGGAGTTGGGGGGGAAGGGATGGGGAGTTGGGGGAAAGGGGGTGGGGAGTGGGGGGGGGAGGGGAGTTGGGGGGAAGGGGGTGGGGAGTTGGGGGGGGGGGGATGGGGAAATTGGGGGGGGGGAAAGGGGGTGGGGAGTTGGGGGGAATGGGTGGGGGGAGGGGGAAAGGGAGGGGAGTTGGGGGGGGGGGGGGGAGTTGGGGGGAATGGGAGGGGGAGTTGGGGGGGGGGGAAAGGGGGGGGAGTTGGGGGGAATGGGATGGGGAGTTGGGGGGGGGGGGGGGGTTGGGGGGGAAAGGGTGGGGTTGGGGGGAATGAGTTGGGGGGGGAAAGGGATGGGGGTGGGGGGGAGGGGGAGTTGGGGGGGGGAAAGGTTGGGGGGGGGAAGGGGTTGGGGGGGGGAAGGGATGGGGGTTTGGGGGGAATTGGGGGGTTTGGGGGGGGGGGGATGAGGGGGGGGGGGGGGGAATGGGATGGAGGGGGGGGGGGGAGTTGAGGGGGAAAGGGATGGGGGGGTTGGGGGGGGGGAAAGGGATGGGGGTTGGGGGGAAAGGGGGGGAGTTGGGGGGGGGGGGGGATGGGAGTTGGGTGGGAATGGGGAGTTTAGGGGAAGGGATGGGGGGTTGGGGGGGAAAGGGGGAAAGGGTGGGGAGTTTGGGGGGGGGGGGATGGGGAGGGGGGGGGTGGGATGGGGAGTTGGGGGGGGGGGGGAGTTGGGGGGGGGGGGATGGGGGGTTGGGGGGAATGGGATGGGGAGTTGGGGGGAATGGGAGGGGAGGGGGGGGGGGATGGGGAGTTGGGGGGGGGGAGGGGAGTTGGGGGGGGGATGGGGGGTTGGGGGAATGGGATGGGGGGTTGGGGGGGGAAAGGGAGGGGAGTTTGGGGGAATGGGGGGGGGAGTTGGGGGGGGGGGGGGAGTTGGGGGGTGGGAGGGGGGGAGTTGGGGGGAATGGGGGGGTTGGGGGGGGAAAGGGATGGGGAGTTGGGGGGAAAAGGGATGGGGAGTTGAGGGGAAAGGGGGTGGGGGGGGGGGGGGGGGGAGTTTGGGGGGGGAAAGGGATGGGGAGTTGGGGGGGAAAGGGATGGGGAGGGGGGAGGGGGAAGGGATGGGGATTGGGGGGGGTTTTTTTTTTTTTGGGGAGTTGGGGGGGAATGGGGGGGGGGGGGGGGAAGGGAGGGGGGGGGGGGAATGGGAGGGGGGAGTTGGGGGGAATGGGATGGGGAAAATTGGGGGGAAGGGGGGGTGGGGGGGGAGGGGGTTGGGGGGGGGGGAAAGGGGAGTTGGGGGGGGGAAGGGATGGGGAGTTTGGGGGGGGGGATGGGGAGTTGGGGGGGGGTGGGGGGGGGGGGGAGGGGGGAATGGGGTGGGGAGTTGGGGGAATGGGGTGGGGAGGGGGGGGGGGGGGAAAGGGGGGGTTGGGGGGGGGGAAAGGGGGGTTGGGGGGGGGATGGGGGGGGGGGTTTGGGGGGAGGGGGGGGAAAGGGATGGGGGTGGGGGGGGGTGGGGGGGGGGGAATGGGGGGGGGGGGGGGGAGGGGAGGGGGGGGGAAGGGATGGGGGGGTTGGGGGGGGGGGGGATGGGATGGGGGGGGGGGGGGTGGGGGGGGGGGGGGGGAAGGGAAAAGGGGGGAGTTGGGGGGGGGGATGGGGGGTGGGGGGGGAATGGGGGGTGGGGGGGGGGGTGGGGGGGGGGGGGGATGGGGAGTTTAGGGGGGGATGGGATGGGGGGGAAAGGGTTTTGGGGGGGGAGGGGGGGGGGGGAAAGGGGGTTTGGGGGGGAAGGGGGGGGAGGGGGTGGGATGGGAGGTGAGGGGAATGGGATGGGGGTTGGGGGGGGAAAGGGAGGGGAGTGGGGGGGGGATTTGGGGGGGGGGGGGGGATGGGGGAGTTGGGGGGGGGATGGGATGGGGGGTTGGGGGGGGGTGGGGAGTGAGGGAAAGGGGGTGGGGAGTTGGGGGGGGGGGGGGATGGGGAGTTGGGGGGGGGGGGGGGGGGGGGGGTGGGGGGTGGGGGTTTGGGGGGGGGGGGATTGGGGGGGAGGGGGGGGGGGGGGGGGGTGGGGGGGGGAGGGATGGGGGGGGGGGGAAAAGGGGGGTTGGGGGGGGGGGGGTGGGATGGGGATTTGGGGGGGGGGGGGAAGGGATGGGGGGGGGGGGGGGGAGGGGATGGGGGAGGGGGGGTGGGGGGGGAGGGGTTGGGGGGGGGTGGGTGGGGAGTGGGGGGGGGGGGGGGGGATTTTAAAAAAATTTGGGATGGGGAAAAGGGAATTTGAAAGGGGGGGGAAAAAAGGGGGGGGTTGGGGGGTGGGAAAAAATTTTTGGTTTTTTAAATTTTAAAAAATATTATTTTTTTAGTCGGGCAAGATAGGGGGGGGGGTGGAGAAAATTTTAAAAAAAAAGGGAAAGGGGTAAAAACCCAAAAATTTTTTTGTCTTATTTAAAAATCTGTTTTTTTTTGGGGGCCCTTTGGGGAAAAGGGCAAATAAATTTCGCGGAACCCCCAAAACCCCAAAAGCAAAAAACATTTAAAAATTAATTTAAAAATATAAAAAAAGGGACAAGCTCCTTTTGTAAAAATTAGAAAACCTTATTTTTTTTTTTAAAGGGGAAGGCCTTCCTTGGGAAAAAAATTTACCCAAATAAAAAAAAAAAAATTTTTTTTTTAAAAAAATTAAAAATTCAAAATTTTTAAACTTTTTTAAATGGAAAAATTTTAAAAAACCTTTTTTAAACCCTTTTGGTTTTAAAAAATTTGGGAAAAACAAAAAAATTTTTTGGGGTTTTAAAAAAGCCTAAAGGCCCCCCCACCCTTTTTAAAAAAATTTTCCCTTAAAAAAAAAAACAAAAATTTTTTAAAACTTTTCTTTCCCCCTTTTTTAAAAGCCAAAAAAGGTCGGGGGGTTTTTTTTTCACGTCTGGGGAAACCCGGCACAATTCCCTAAAGGGGGGGGGGGGGAATGAGATGGGGAGTTGGGGGAATGAGATGGGGAGTTGGGGGAATGAGATGGGGAGTTGGGGGAATGAGATGGGGAGTTGGGGGTGGAGGCACACCTCTTTGTTTGTCTTATTTCAATCAATCAATCAATTTTATTTTATATAGCCCTTCGTACATCAGCTAATATCTCGAAGTGCTGTACAGAAACCCAGCCTAAAACCCCAAACAGCTAGTAATGCAGGTGTAGAAGCACCTGCATATTTACCAATTTTATTATGACAGAATCCTGTGTGATCAATATGATAATTTCTCGGTATGGATTTTTTTTTTTTTGGAGTGGCAGCCTACGGGTACATGTGGTATTAACTGTGTAAATTGACATGACTATTGGAACCCCAACAACAACAACATGACAAAGCAAATAAAAACACTGTACAAAAAATTATATCTGTACAATGGATATAAATTCAGAAACTCTTTTAGACTCCTTTTCGCTAAGACATTTGGGGAAAGATGACAAAATTATTAATTTACGCGTTTAACCGTTCATTACTGGGATAGGCCATCATCATTGTAGAACAATTTGTACCATATACAAAATGGAAGGATGAAAAACATTGAGGACAATGCATGGGTTTCTGTTCTGTTTATTAACATTATTGTAGACTTATATTTGCAGTTTCTAAAGACTATAAGGGCTGTTTTACAGCTGAGGAGTTAGAGTAACATTAAAAATAAACCTTTTTCAACTCACAAAAATATTTGACATTTTCTACATTAATTCAATAGGGAGAATTCAAAATTAACTCCGTTTTTTTTTATTTTGTAGAAAAACTATATGTCTTTAGTCTGTTGATAAGAGCCCTCCACCCGTAATGTTATCAAATGTAGCCACTCCTCAGCAAAAGGCACATAACAGCCCGCTTGGAGTTTGCCAAAAGGCACCTAAAGGACTCTCAGACCATAAGAAACAAGATTATCTGGTCTGATGAAACCAAGATTGAACTCTTTGGCCTTAATGCCAGGCGTCACGTCTGGAGGAAACCTGGCACAATCCCTACGGTGAAGCACGGTGGTGGCAGCGTCATGCTGTGGGGATGTTTTTCAGCGGCAGGGACTGGGAGACTAGTCAGGATCGAGGGAAAGATGAATGGAGCAAAGTACAGAGAGATCCTTGATGAAATCCTGCTCCAGAGCGCTCAGGACCTCAGACTGGGGCGAAGGTTCACCTTCCAACAGGACAACAACCCTAAGCACACAGTCAAGACAACGCAGGAGAGGCTTCGGGACAAGTCTCTGAATGTCCTTGAGTGGCCCAGCCAGAGCCCGGACTTGAACCCGATCTAACATCTCTGGAGAGACCTGAAAATAGCTGTGCAGCGACGCTCCCCATCCAACCTGACAGAGCTTGAGAGGATTTGCAGAGAAGGAAGGGAGAAACTCCCCAAATACAAGTGTGCCAAGCTTGTAGCATCATACCCAAGAAGACTCAAGGCTATAATTGCTGCCAAAGGTGCTTCAACAAAGTACTAAGTGAAGGGGTCTGAATACCGAATGCACTGTATATCCCAAATAAAAATGACTAGGGCTCTATTCAGATATTTATCTCCTCCCACAAAGTTATGGATTGTTCTCATAAGACAACCATCGACAAATTGTGCATCATAAAGAAATCAAACAATTAATGTACTTTTTACCCCTTTTTCGCCCCAATTTCGTGATATCCAATTGATAGTTACAGTCTTGTCCCATCGCTGCGACTCCCGTACGGACTCGGGAGAGGCGACGGTCGAGAGCCACGCATCCTCCGAAACACGAACCTGCCAAGCCGCACTGCTTCTTGACACACTGCTGCCTTAACCCGGAAGCCAGCTTCACCAATGTGTCGGAGGAAACACCGTACAACTGGCGACCGAGGTCAGCTTGCAGGCGCCCGGCCCGCCACAGGAGTCGCTAGAGCGCGATGGGACAAGGACATCCCGGCCGGCCAAACCCTCCCCTAACCCGGACGACGCTGGGTTCAATTCTGCATCGCCTCATGGGTCTCCCAACCGCGGCCGGCTGCGACACAGCCCGGGATCGAACCCGGATCTGTAGTGACGCCTCAAGCACTGCGATGCAGAGCCTCAGACCGCTGCGCCCCTCGGGAGGCCATTCATGTCGTACTAAATACTTTTTAGTGACCTCAGAGTTGGGAGAAGTCGGAGCTCAGAGATGATAAACGAGTTTCCCACTAGTAATTAGCAGTTGGAGGGGCGTTCAAGTGGACATTTCCTAGTCGTATGCTGGTATTTACGAATTTACAACATGTCACGAACACAACATAAGAGAGTGAATTAGTCCGAATGCTGACAGATAAGAGTAGCTGCAGAACTCGTATCTTATAACTCTGAGCCCCAAGACAACTAGGAACACGAAGCCTGATGTTGCCTCATATCGCTTTTCTGCGTGTAGCCCTTCCCACAAACTGGACATTTATAAGGCCTTTCCCCTGTGTGGAACATCATGTGTCGTTTTAGATGTCTATTCGTTCTGAAGCGTAGTTGACAAAGAGCGCAGGCAAACGGCCGCTCTCCTGTGTGAATCATTCGATGTTGTTTCAGGGTACCCTTATCTTTAAAACGTTTTCCACAGTCTGTGCAACAGAATGGGCGCTCCTCTGTGTGTACCCGTTGGTGTGATTCCAATACAGACTGAGATGGGAAATCCTTACCACACATATCACATAGATAAGGCCTGTAAGTATGAGAACGAATATGAACTTCTAAATAATTATGTTCGGCAAACATTCTGCCACAAAAACTACAGGAGAACCCTTTTCCCGTGTGACATACCGTGTGTAATTTCAGTTTATTTTCGCTCGTGAATTGTTGCAGACAATCAGAGCAGGTGAAGACCGGCGTGTCTTTTGTGGGAACGATTACGACGGTACGATTACGGCGCATCGGCCCACAGCCTGTTTTGTTGGCCAGGTGAAACTTTAAATCCCTGTTGCGACCAAAGCACTTTGAACATATGGGACACTTAATGGCCCCCTCACCGTGACGTCTCAGATGCAAAGTCAGGGATTGTTTCCTACGGAAACTCTTTGAGCACACGTGACATGTTCTAGAATCTAAATCCACACCGCGGGGCAGAGTGGGGGAAGCGTCGCAGGTTGTTGGGTTCTGGGGTTCAGTACTGTGGGGCTGGAAAGTCTCTATCCCATTACCCCTTGTGCTTCCATCTGCTGGATCAACCTCCCTTAGGTGTTGGCGGGGACTGACTTCCTCACTCAAGTCTTGCCGTCTCTGAAAGTTAATCTCATCACACTCTTTTGCCCTTTGGGGTCTAGGCCGGCTTACTGTAAGAGCAGTTTGCTGATTGGAAAAGTCCTTTACAAATAAGTTTGATTGATTGACTGATTGGTTTGGCTGGTGTTGCTGAGAGTCATTTGAGAAGTCAACGTCTGTGCTGCCGGACTGTGGGATCTCATTTTCCTCTGTATGTAGTGGCCAGTGCGTCTGGTGTCGTTTAAAGTTCACCTCCTGACTTGTCATTCCCTGCTGTGTATATTGACAAGTCCTTGTCCTGCACCCCGGACACTTTCTGAAGTCTGGAATGTTTTGTCCCGAACACTCGTTTAAGTGTTTCTGCCAATCAAATGTGCTTTGGAAGCTCTCCCCACATTTAAAGCACGGGTAAGGAAGTACATCATGTTGACATTTCAGATGCATTCTCAGGTCGTCTCCATTATCAAACGCTTCCTTACACAAAAGGCACGTTCTGTAATTATTAGCTAACTGAAATGGCAGAGCATTGGAGGTTGTTGGGTTCTGGGGTGTAGCGTTTGAGGGAAGAGGTATCTCCATCTCCACATTTTCTACTGCTGCTAAAAGCGTGCTTGCGTCTGGGTGAGCCTCTCTTGGAAGTCTCTGTTGGTTCACGTCCTCGTTTGGCTCAGAGAGTTCAAAGGTGTCACCGCACAGAGGGCAAGAGAGACGTTTCTTTGTCTTCAAGCACTCTTCTTTATGTTTCTCAAAATCTGAGTTCTCAAAACCTTCCCCACAGTTGAGGCACAGGAGCTTACCATGAGTGTATCTCATGTGCTGTCTCGAGTGTGCCACCTTACTGAAGGTCCGGTCACACAGGGAGCATTTGCTGACTTTGGAAGACTGTCTTGGTTTACCATGTTGGCTTTTCACGCGTCTTCTCTGGGGTAAAGTGTCTTGGGGCGTCTCCGTCCAATCCTCCGAAGATGCGGCGGACATGTTATCCTCTTCTGGTTGAACTGCCACCCCATCCTGTAAGTCAAAGTCTTGTCCAATCAGGCGAGGGCTCTGCTCCGTGTGAGTTCTCATGTGTGCTGTCAAATCTTTTGCTTCCCTGAAAGTTTTCCCACAAAAGGAGCATATTTTGACACGCTTGCTTATTTTAGGCTGACCCTTCGTATGTGACGGGCCAGGGACCAGAGAACACTGAGGCTTACTATCCGAGGGCTCTCCGTTGACATTCCTCTCACTCTTTTGTGATATGACCCGTCCTCCTCTCGGTCCTTGGGATCCCACTTTGTCAAGCTGAAGCCTCTCTCTCCTCTGTGTTGAAGAGACCTCTGGTAACAGCATATCAGTCACGTCAAGTCTCTGCAGCAGCACTATGGGCTGACGGAGCCGACCGGAAGTAGATAAACTAGAAATGTCTTGCACCTCCGGTTGGCTGCAAACTCTTCCTTGGATTTTCAGCCCACTGTCAGTATGAAGGCGGAGAAAAGCTTCATCCATTTTCCACTCTTCTGCTGACTCTTTGTCAAGTGTCCCATCATTAACGTTTCTCTCTGCAGTTTCCTTGTTTACAAAAGCAGGCTCCACCGCTTCATTCAAAGGCAAAATGTCAACATTTGCAGAGCGGTCTAAATTCATCCCCCGTCCGCTCTCCCTGTATTCCAACGACGGTGTCATTTCTGACTCAATGTCAGATGATGCAGGCCTTTGAATGGTCATGAATCCCTGTACGGGTTCTGATTGGATCTCTGGGTCAGCTTGGTCAGTGGATGATTCCACGGTCTCTAGGGGAGAGGGAGGCGGCGAGGAGAGGATGTGGTCGTCTCCAGACAGAGCTGAGGTCGGGGAGAAGAGGAAAAGTCAGTCAACCATAAAAACCATTGACATTCTAAAATTAACTTCACTTCATTTTCAAAGTCTACTTCGCCTACCATTGGCCTCTACATGTGGTCCTGGAGAAGGCTTGGTGTGGTACTGGAGAAGGGTCCTCAAAGACTGAGGGTGACTCACAGACTGCACACACTCCATCAGGACAGAGGGGTCAGGTAGGAAACACGATGCAGTCTGATAGAAAGAGAACGGCACGACAATGGATCCCAGTTCTAAAATATCACAACCTTGTTGTCCTAGAAAAAACCTTGTTTCTCACTTTATGACTCTTGGACAAAAAATAAAAAGTATTTCAAAACACCTAATGAACTTTCATTAATAAGATTATGAAAATATAGTTTTTCCAGGATGCTGACAATATGCATGACTGGTATAAAACACATAATAGTATAGATTAAAATATGTATTTATGCATCTATTCAGCCAATGAATGGACATTTTTGCATTTGTGCAAAGTCCCTGTTTGGTATAACCCTGTTTGGTATAACCCTGTTTGGTATAACCCTGTTTGGTATAACCCTGACGTATAAAGGTTACCCTCAGTCTGAGGTCACGGTGGTACCTGTTGAAGGGTTGGTGTTGGAAGCAGCTTCTCCAGGCTGGAGAGGAACTCCCACACCAGAGTCTTCAGTGCTGAGTCATACTTCGGCCCAAATTCCTCTGGAAACACTTTCTAAGAAAACAACCAACCAAACAAGTCGAGAATGTCAGTGCTTTTAAATCTAAAACATTGAATACTGCCTTGTCATTCAATTCCTTTGGCTTCATCATCCTCCTTGTTCATCATCATCATCATCATCATCAGCTACTGACCTGAAAGAAGTGTTCTCTCTCAAAGGGGTCTTCCAGCAGCGTTTGAATCAGCTTCAGGAAGTTTGATTCTGATGCCTCCACCTCAGGATCAGAAATCTACAGCAAGTATGGATAACACAACGAATCAACGAAACCAGCATATAAAACCTTGCCTGGTTAACCACAGCCTCGCAAGCCGCCTGATCTCACGAGCTTGCAGCAAGATCAGGCGGCTTGCGAGGTTAAAAGGGCAGGTTGCACGATATATTTCCACAAATCTAACAACGTAGATTGATGATATTCCACCTAAAATGGTATTTTATGCAAAAGTTAATATTTCAATATTTTCACAATTTTAAAATTACGTTTATGAAAAACTCCTAAACCAACGATACATTGCAGCTTTGACATCAAGTAGGGAACGGCCTGCCGGAGGCACTACAGCAACTGTAGCATGTTTTGGCCGAAATGCGAGAAGAAAGTGGGACCGCTTCGTGAGGATGTGGCGGACAGACGGTTTTCGTTTGGTCCCAAATGACTACGATGGCTACCAACAGCGGAAGAGTTGATTCACCATGAAGCTGAGGCTAAAAAAAATATTTAAAAAAATCGGTTCCGTGCCCCCAGTGAATGTAGGCTCCAAGTCCACTGTGTTACTACGACATGGCAGTGGCCCGCTTCAGTGATGGAGGTCAATCAGGTTCAGTAGGTACTAGCGCCCAAAAGAGTTATCATATGTTGCTAGTAGATGATACAAAACAAAAAAGGTAGCCGGCTATCTAAGTGCACTGGGCAATGCAAAACTAAGTGGCCCGCTCACACGGATCTAGCATGGTGTTTGGGAATGGAATACGCTAGCTAGCTAGCTAGCAAGCGATCTACAGAAGCAAGCGTTTTCACAGAAATAAAAATGGTCAAATACCAATTCAGATTAATGTCATTGTTCATTTCAAGGTATGTCTTTATTTTAGCTGAACAGCCTGATCTTTATTGGCAAAATATACATTCTGACATTGAGCAACCATAGTCAGAGGTGGAAAAAGTACTACATTCTCATACTTGAGTGAAAGTAAGGATAGTACTAAATTGTCATACTTGAGTGAAAGTAATGATAGTACTAAATTGTCATACTTGAGTGAAAGTAAGGATAGTACAAAATTGTCATACTTGAGTAAAAGTAAAGATACCTTAATAGAAAATGACTCAAGTAAAAGTGAGTCACCCAGAAAATACTACTTGAGTAAAAGTCTAAAAGTATTTGGTTTTAAATATACTTAAGTATCAAAAGTAAATGTAATTGCTAAAATATACTTAAGTATCAAAAGTTAAAGTATAAAGCATTTCTCATTTCTTATATTAAGCAAACCACACTGCACCATTTCTTTGCTTTTATTTAATTTACTGATAGCCAGGAGCACGCTCCAACACTCAGACATCATTTATAAATTAAGCTTGTGTGTTTAGTGAGTCCAGATCAGAGGCAGTAGGGATGACCAGGGATGTTCTCTTGATAAGTGCGTGAATTTGACAATTTTCCTGTCCTGCTAAGCATAAAAAATGTCAGGGAATATGTATATATCGTTTAGCAATGTAGTGAAGTAAAAGTTGTCAAAAATATAAATAGTAAAGTACAGATACCAAAAACAAATACTTAAGTAGTACTTTAAATTATTTTTACTTTTTCGGTTTCTGATAATGCACCCCAGTTTGCTTGCAGTGATTTTGCAGAGCATTATGACTTCAGACATATCCTCTATATCCTAAAAGTAACAGAAAGGCTGAAAAAGGTGCAAATCGTGAAGAGACTCTTAAACAAGGCAGCACACAGTCGGACTGATCCATACTTGACTGTATTGTCTTACAGAGCAGCGCCCTTGAAATGTGGCCTGGCCTCTGCAGGAATGACTGCCCATCAGCTGTGCAGGACAGGGCCCTGCAGTTGAAGGCAAAACTAAAATCTACTATGATAAAACTCCTACAGTGTTGCCACCATTGGCAGCTAAGAATGTGGTTAGATTTCGGAGTCTGGATTCATGGGATAGAAAGGTTACTGTCTTGGAGGTTGTGCCTCGGTCATATACAGTCAGAACAGAAGATGGGGCTGTGTATTGGCGCAATAGACAAAGCCTTTTGACACAGGAGAAGTTTGAGGACACTCAGGACAGTCATACTGCCACTGGACACACAGTCATGCTGCCACTGGACACACAGTCATGCTGCCACTGGACACACAGTCATGCTGCCACTGGACACACAGTCATGCTGCCACTGGACACACAGTCATGCTGCCACTGGACACACAGTCATGCTGCCACTGGACACACAGTCATGCTGCCACTGGACACACAGTCATGCTGCCACTGGACACACAGTCATACTGCCACTGGACACACAGTCATACTGCCACTGGACACACAGTCATGCTGCCACTGGACACACAGTCATGCTGCCACTGGACACACAGTCATACTGCCACTGGACACACACAGTCATACTGCCACGGGACACACAGTCATGCTGCCACTGGACACACAGTCATGCTGCCACTGGACACACAGTCATACTGCCACTGGACACACAGTCATACTGCCACTGGACACACAGTCATACTGCCACTGGACACACAGTCATACTGCCACTGGACACACAGTCATACTGCCACTGGACACACAGTCATACTGCCACTGGAGACACAGTCATGCTGCCACTGGACACACAGTCATACTGCCACTGGACACACAGTCATGCTGCCACTGGACACACAGTCATGCTGCCACTGGACACACAGTCATACTGCCACTGGACACACAGTCATACTGCCACTAGACACACAGTCATGCTGCCACTGGACACACAGTCATGCTGGACACACAGTCATGCTGCCACTGGACACACAGTCATGCTGCCACTGGACACACAGTCATGCTGCCACTGGACACACAGTCATGCTGCCACTGGACACACAGTCATGCTGTCACTGGACACACAGTCATGCTGCCACTGGACACACAGTCATGCTGCCACTGGACACACAGTCATGCTGCCACTGGACACACAGTCATGCTGCCACTGGACACACAGTCATGCTGCCACTGGACACACAGTCATACTGCCACTGGACACACAGTCATACTGCCACTGGACACACAGTCATGCTGCCACTGGACACACAGTCATGCTGCCACTGGACACACAGTCATACTGCCACTGGACACACACAGTCATACTGCCACGGGACACACAGTCATGCTGCCACTGGACACACAGTCATGCTGCCACTGGACACACAGTCATACTGCCACTGGACACACAGTCATACTGCCACTGGACACACAGTCATACTGCCACTGGACACACAGTCATACTGCCACTGGACACACAGTCATACTGCCACTGGACACACAGTCATACTGCCACTGGAGACACAGTCATGCTGCCACTGGACACACAGTCATACTGCCACTGGACACACAGTCATGCTGCCACTGGACACACAGTCATGCTGCCACTGGACACACAGTCATACTGCCACTGGACACACAGTCATACTGCCACTAGACACACAGTCATGCTGCCACTGGACACACAGTCATGCTGGACACACAGTCATGCTGCCACTGGACACACAGTCATGCTGCCACTGGACACACAGTCATGCTGCCACTGGACACACAGTCATGCTGCCACTGGACACACAGTCATGCTGCCACTGGACACACAGTCATGCTGCCACTGGACACACAGTCATACTGCCACTGGACACACAGTCATGCTGCCACTGGACACACAGTCATGCTGGACACACAGTCATACTGCCACTGGACACACAGTCATGCTGCCACTGGACACACAGTCATGCTGCCACTGGACACACAGTCATGCTGCCACTGGACACACAGTCATGCTGGACACACAGTCATACTGCCACTGGACACACAGTCATGCTGCCACTGGACACACAGTCATGCTGCCCACTGGACACACAGTCATACTGCCACTGGACACACAGTCATGCTGCCACTGGACACACAGTCATGCTGCCACTGGACACACAGTCATGCTGCCACTGGACACACAGTCATGCTGCCACTGGACACACAGTCATGCTGCCACTGGACACACAGTCATGCTGGACACACAGTCATACTGCCACTGGACACACAGTCATGCTGCCACTGGACACACAGTCATGCTGCCACTGGACACACAGTCATGCTGCCACTGGACACACAGTCATGCTGGACACACAGTCATACTGCCACTGGACACACAGTCATGCTGCCACTGGACACACAGTCATGCTGCCACTGGACACACAGTCATACTGCCACTGGACACACAGTCATGCTGCCACTGGACACACAGTCATGCTGCCACTGGACACACAGTCATGCTGCCACTGGACACACAGTCATGCTGCCACTGGACACACAGTCATGCTGCCACTGGACACACAGGACAAAGAAAGGAGAACAAGTGGGGATGTTTCTCTGACACCAGGTACTGGGAGTCTGACAGTAGTGAGGATGTTTGAATTGGTATTTGTGAATGGACATTGCTTGTTGATGAAATGTGTATATACACGTCTGTGAAAAAAAGGAAGATGTATTGATGTGGTTTTGACTAATGTTTTACGACACTCTTTTACAACACCTGTGGTGTATGTGTGGTAATGGCGAAAGAACATTAAAACTTGTTAACTATGATTGATGGTGACAGTCGTCTTTGCTCGCTGTAACCAACGAAGTAATACAATGTGGACAGTGGCTTTACTCCTGTAGTGCTCCTCTTCTCCTGTAGTGCTCCTCTTCTCCTGTAGTGCTCCTCTTCTCCTGTAGTGCTCCTCTTCTCCTGTAGTGCTCCTCTTAACATTTTCCAACATGCAGTGATGTAAAGTACTTAAGTAAAAATACTTTAAAGTACTACTTAAGTAGTTTTTTTGTGGTATCTGTACTTTACTATTTATATTTTTGACAACTTTTACTTTTACTTCACTACATTCTTAAAGAAAATAATGTACTTTTTACTCCATACATTTTCCCCTGACACCCAAAAGTACTCGTTACATTTTGAATGCTTAGCGGGACAGGAAAATAGTTGAATTCACGCACTAATCAAGAGAACATCCCTGGTCATCCCTACTGCCTCTGATCTGGCGGACTCACTAAACACACGTTTGTAAATTATGCCTGAGTGTTGGAGTGTGCCCCTGGCTATCCGTAACTAACAATAAATAAATATGTAATGGTGCCGTCTGGTTTGCTTAATATAAGGAATTATTACTTTTTATACTTAAGTATATTTGAGCAATTACATTTACTTTTGATACTTAAGTAGTTTTAAAACCAAATACTTTTACTTTTACTCAAGTAGTATTTTACTGGGTGACTTTCACTTTTACTTGAGTCATTTTCTATTAAAAGGTATCTTTACTTTTACTCAAATCCCCAAATCCAAATGTAAAGTGATATGTCGTACTGGGACTTTTAGTTGGAAGGATGAAACCAATCAGAATGTTTAACACCAACCTTTAAATTCTGCAACCTTCCTCTTTATCAGACTGTGGAGTACGACGTGAGCCGTGTGAACGAGGTCTTTATCAGACTGTGGAGTACGACGTGAGCCGTGTGAACGAGGTCTTTATCAGACTATGGAGTACGACGTGAGCCGTGTGAACGAGGTCTTTATCAGACTATGGAGTACGACGTGAGCCGTGTGAACGAGGTCTTTATCAGACTGTGGAGTATGACGTGAGCCGTGTGAACGAGGTTGACCCACCTCTCTAATTTTGCACAAGCCTTCACCCAACTTTTGTGGAACAATGCCTTGAATGTAAAGGGAGCATTACCTTACCATTGACCCACCTATTTGTTTGACCATTACATCACTGGTTATCACAATACTTTTCCACCTGAGGGGTTGAGACTGCTGTTTTGATTTGAAAAACCATAGAGACAAAGAGGGCTCTGGATGGATATAACCTGGATAATGCTATTTGAAGGCTTCCACCATTTTTAAGTAGCCAACTGGGTGTGGATTCCTATGGATTGATCGCTACCAGCCGATGATCAGAGCATTGTCTTCTTCAAACTGGGTTGTCTATGGTTCGATAATGGCTTTAAGCCATTTTATCACTGCCATCTAGTGGCCTCTTTCACGCACACAATTTAGTTCAGGACTCAACCATTTAAACAAATACAAAAATGAGCCTCTTCCTCTATGTTGAAAACGAACAGCTGTAAAGCAGAGGGCGGCGCTCAGAGGCTCTGTGCAGGTGTTTGAAGCAGAGAGATACAGAGGAAAAACCGACCGGTGTAAAAGCACAGCCCTTCTCAACGCCAATCTGCTGACCACAACAAATGAATGACACAATAGCTAGTTCAGGACTCTAGCACTGCAGATAGCGGTAAACATTAACCTCTTGGTCTGGAGGCAGCTCTGCGGAGAGCTCACTGGCTGGAACAGCCATAAAGTCATACAATCTAACCACACTCCTAATACCTAACCTTCAATTATGCCCAAAAAGCAAATTTTTTGTTTTCAATTTTGACTTTGCAGCTGGCCTATCTAAGGGGAAATCACTCAGCTCTGCCTCCAGGACAAGACCCATGACAATAAACCTCAACCTGCATCATGGCCCAGATAAGGCCTCGTTCTCTCTCTATGGTTTGGTATTAACCACCATATAGAACACCAGCAGAGTTAGGCCGCAGCCAAACTGGCCCGGTGATTTTATCCGTATCTGGGATTTCCGATGCTTTCTCAATGGGAGTCCTATGGTGATGGTCAGCGGAGATGACACGTCCTTATCCATTCAATTTCCACCCATTTTCACAGACGAAAAGTTCAGGTGAGTTGAACTTTTGACGGGCCAATGGGATGCGTTAGCCAATTACACGCTCCACAAGCGCACGTAACCAACCATTTATCCGTTCTAAATTTGGTTTCCGTTCTCCACAGATCAGATCCAAGTTCTGTCACCCGAGTGGCACTCACCTTGTTGTCCCCATGAGTGATGATACAGGTCTTCATCCTGTTCAGGTGCGGCTGGACGGTGTCACGGTCGGCTAGTTGATCTGAGCGACACAACTCCAGAACCAGCTAATGGAGTAACAGTAAAAGATTTTTACGAATTCAATCAAATTAGACTGGTGGCTGGGCCAGCAAAAAATAAACAGCATATTGACTGCAGCAGAGATCAGCCGTTTCCTATGGAACCATTCCTAATTTCAATCATGGTGGTAGACGCATCATGTTTCAGAAAATATGACAAATGTGCAAGTGGGAGAATACTTTTTCATGGGACTATACCAATTTCTATAGCAATACAACGCTGTATAGCCTAGTTGACAGGCTAATTATGTCATATAGAATTACCCAGATTATAACCAAACGACATGCATCTAATGAAGTGACCCCCCCGGTGTTGAACCAAGACGTTCTCCTGAGTCTCATCCCTCCCTTCACACTCTCCACCCATCAGCCCCCCCCCCCCCCCCCCCCCCCCCCCCCATATCGCTCACCTGTGCTCTCAGACCCATGATGAGTTGGACTTTCTCTCTGTAACTCATCAGATCTGGGACTATGTCCAACACAGTGGTGACAAACTCCTCCACCAAGCCGTAGTCCACGACGTCTCTCCGCTGAACCACCTGCCATAGAGCTGCAGACACCAGCCGCAGTGGAGGAACCAAAAGACGCAGAGACGCTGGGGGCAGAGGACGACCTAGAGGAGACACCCATTCTGAAAAGGAGACATCCATGCTCAGGTCCAAAATGATTGGCACCTTTGATAACGATGAGCAAAAAATAATAATAATAATCATCATCATCCAAATCATCATAATAAATCATCCAAATCCTGCTGTATGCTCCAAACAAGGGACAATTACACTAATACAATTGATCAGAGAAAAATATTTTGTTTAAGAAGTAATATATTTATTTCTAAAAAAAAAAGATAGGCAACATTTTTTGGGCCACCCGTTTTCAATAGCAGGGTTTTTCCTGGTTCAAAAAGGGGCTTAGGTGGTGGGCGTGGCAGGGTGGGGCGTGGCAATGGGTGCGGTCAGCCCGGCATGGCGGAATTTTAGAAAATAATGAAGAGGCCCCCCATCTAGGCGGATTTTAGACCATTCTAGAATCCCTTCAGATCCTGTATATCCTTCGACTGCCCTCTTCAATTCAAACTACAGGTTTTAAATGGGGTTCAAGTCTGGAGACTTGGCTATTGTCAAATGTAAAATGTTGTGGTCAATTAACCATTTCTTCGTTCATTTTTATGTGTGCTTGGTGTTATTGTCTTTCTGGAAGATCCACTTGCGGCCAAGTTTCAGCCTCCTGGCAGAGGCAACCAGGTTTATGGCTAAAAATGTCCCGGTACTGGGTCAAGTTCATGATGCCGTTGACCTTAACAAGGGCCCCCAGTGGAAGCAAAATAGCCCCATCACATCAAAGATCTACCACCATATTTTTCTGCAGATGCCATCTTTCATTTGAAGCAAAACGCACCACTGGTGTGCATGGCCAGAGAACTGTATTTTCATGCCATCTGATCATAGCACCGGTTCTAACCCAAAACCCAATGCCATTAAGCAAACGCCAGGTCGTTTAGACTTGTTGGATGACATGAAAATACAGCTCTTTGGCCGTTAGCTGGTAATAGCCGGCTTTTGTCAGATAAAAAAAATTATTAAAAAAACAGAAAAGCCGATAAATAAAATTGCCGCAGGCCAATTATCTGGGAGAAGAGAAAATCCCATTGTGAAATAATACCTTATTGCCTCTTGACTGATGGAAATACCAGCCGATAGAAATACATTTGACTGATCATGCTTATCGGTCTATAGAGCCTCCTGAGTGGCGCAGTGGTCTAAGGCACTGCATCGCAGTGCTAACTGTGCCACTAGAGATCCTGGTTCGAATCCAGGCTCTGTCGCAGCCGGCCGCGACCGGGAGACTCATGGGCGGCGCACAATTGGCCCAGCGTCGTCCAGGGTAGGGGAGGGAATGGCCGGCAGGGATGTAGCTCAGTTGATAGAGCATGGCGTTTGCAACGCCAGGGTTGTGGGTTTGATTCCCACGGGGGGCCAGTATCAACAAAAAAAAATGTATTCATTAACTGTAAGTATGTATAGGTTCATTTGCATAATGTAGTGGAATTAAAGCTTGTCCAGTATATTCACTTCGTCTCTTATTTATCACATACATTAAAGCATACAGATACAGAGCCTTGGAGTGGAAAACCTGTCAGACAGCAGGAGATCTGCTGCATCATTCATCTTGTGGCGCTTTCAAAGACAACTGGGAACTCTGAAAAATACCAGGTCAAATCACGACGTCACGGATCTTCAGGTCGGAGCTCTAGAAAGAGACCAGAGTTCCCGAGTTGGAATTCCGAGTTGGATGAACGTTCAAAATATTTTTTTTCCCCAGTCTGAGCTATTTTTTTCCCCCCGTTTCCAGGATGTCTTGAACGCACTGATGTCGGATGTCGGAGATTTTCCGAGTTCCCAGGTGTTTTAAATCTGGCATCAAACGGCAACGGAAGGCAGGCTTCATCAGCACGTCACACACCACTTTGCAACGAGCTGGAGGCAGTATGCATTTTGAAAACATACTTAACATGTTTCAAACCTGAACGTTTTCCTTCATATTATGAGGCATGTCTTACCCTTGCTTCAAAGTAGCCTATTAGATCTCCTCTCAACATTTCTAACGGATATTTGTCACATGAAACTGCTGGCATGTGCAGCGGCCTTTTGACAAGTGTTTTCCCGCTAACTGCATTATGGGACGAACATTCACGTGTAGTCTACTGCTTGTGCGCATTGCTGCGCTTATAATGCGAAGAAATAATAGTTCATCAACATTTTACGCTAAACGTTCTGATCTGTCGATTCAGACTCGTTGCTTTTTAACGTTTTTATTTTATTTTTTTATTACGTAGCCGAGGCCTACTGGTTGTATGAATTAGGGATCTATCGTCCCACAACTGTCCCAGAGCCGGTTTGGAATAGGCCATTTCTTTCTTGACAAGCTGACCAATAGAATAGGTGGTCTAAACGTTTCTACTATAGTAGATTGACAATAGGCTGGTGATTTAGCTGTTCGTTACTCGTCTTGTTGGAGGAGGGAAAGTAAATGGGGACTGTTATTCTAACATGTTCAAAGTGCGCATCAGAATTCTGTAAGAATGACCGCACATCGTTATATCCTCGACTTGCATGTTCTGTTAATATGAATTACCATAATCTAAAATGTGATTGCTGTCCTTCTGAGCACCGTGGGTGGACACCCTAATCAGGTCACGCACCCAATGCATATTGGTCCGGTACATTTCTCGAATGTCCGGTAAATTAAAATGTTGCCGGTCAAATGTCTGGAAACACATTTTCCTAACGGAAACCCTGATGCGCTTGCAATTCTACATCACAAGCATTGTAACAGCTTCACCGGGGAGATTCACAGTGCTTGACTTAGACTGAAATAGGTGCCGGTACTCATTTTGGGTCCCGATACTGTTTATATTTAGGTGCAGGAACTCCACGCATTTTTTTGAGCTAATATTCTATAAAAGGAACTCAAGCAGTAGAACATTTGAGGTGCCGGTACTCAGTCCTGGTGAGCTCCTGCCTAAGTCAAGCACAGGAGATCCATAATTTTCCTGCAACCGCGCTGTGAACCACAGCAGACTGAAGCTTGTGATTAGTTTAGTAAAGGTCGGGGACCAAGGAGATTGGAAGCCCATTTCTACCGAAAAGGCTAGAGTGGAGTGCAGCCACGGCAGACTGGACCGGCCCCTTCGTTCTCCGCTGAGCACGGCAGACTGGACCGGCCCCTTCGTTCTCCGCTGAGCACGGCAGACTGGACCGGCACGTCCGTTCTCCGCTGAGCACCGCGACTTGTAGAGCTGTTTTGTACACATAATTGTCATCAAATTAATTTGCTGTCACTCCTGTCCCTGTCACAAAAATCTTCCTTATGACATCATGTGATAATATAGTCTACTACTAGTGATTATGACATCATGTGATAATATAGTCTACTACTAGTGATTATGACATCATAATGATAATATAGTCTACTACTAGTGATTATGACATCATAATGATAATATAGTCTACTACTAGTGATTATGACATCATGTGATAATATAGTCTACTACTAGTGATTATGACATCATGTGATAATATAGTCTACTACTAGTGATTATGACATCATGTGATAATATAGTCTACTACTAGTGATTATGACATCATGTGATAATATAGTCTACTACTAGTGATTATGACATCATGTGATAATATAGTCTACTACTAGTGATTATGACATCATGTGATAATATAGTCTACTACTAGTGATTATGACATCATGTGATAATATAGTCTACTACTAGTGATTATGACATCATGTGATAATATAGTCTACTACTAGTGATTATGACATCATAATGATAATATAGTCTACTACTAGTGATTATGACATCATGTGATAATATAGTCTACTACTAGTGATTATGACATCATGTGATAATATAGTCTACTACTAGTGATTATGACATCATGTGATAATGTAGTCTACTACTAGTGATTATGACATCATAATGATAATATAGTCTACTACTAGTGATTATGACATCATGTGATAATATAGTCTACTACTAGTGATTATGACATCATGTGATAATATAGTCTACTACTAGTGATTATGACATCATGTGATAATATAGTCTACTACTAGTGATTATGACATCATGTGATAATGTAGTCTACTACTAGTGATTATGACATCATAATGATAATATAGTCTACTACTAGTGATTATGACATCATAATGATAATATAGTCTACTACTAGTGATTATGACATCATGTGATAATATAGTCTACTACTAGTGATTATGACATCATGTGATAATATAGTCTACTACTAGTGATTATGACATCATGTGATAATATAGTCTACTACTAGTGATTATGACATCATGTGATAATATAGTCTACTACTAGTGATTATGACATCATGTGATAATGTAGTCTACTACTAGTGATTATGACATCATAATGATAATAGTCTACTACTAGTGATTATGACATCATAATGATAATATAGTCTACTACTAGTGATTATGACATCATGTGATAATATAGTCTACTACTAGTGATTATGACATCATGTGATAATATAGTCTACTACTAGTGATTATGACATCATAATGATAATATAGTCTACTACTAGTGATTATGACATCATGTGATAATATAGTCTACTACTAGTGATTATGACATCATGTGATAATATAGTCTACTACTAGTGATTATGACATCATAATGATAATATAGTCTACTACTAGTGATTATGACATCATGTGATAATATAGTCTACTACTAGTGATTATGACATCATGTGATAATATAGTCTACTACTAGTGATTATGACATCATAATGATAATATAGTCTACTACTAGTGATTGACTTGCATGAGCCCAGATCCATTATTATTCACCTCCTTTGGTCATTTGGCAATTTAGCACTACATTCATAAGGCTGTAGCAATGAAAAGGCAACGTTCAGCAGGGATTCTGGTGACCTGATAACTGTAACAATGAAAAGGCAACGTTCAGCAGGGATTCTGGTGACCTGATAACTGTAACAATGAAAAGGCAACGTTCAGCAGGGATTCTGGTGACCTGATAACTGTAACAATGAAAAGGCAACGTTCAGCAGGGATTCTGGTGACCTGATAACTGTAACAATGAAAAGGCAACGTTCAGCAGGGATTCTGGTGACCTGATAACTGTAGCAATGAAAAGGCAACGTTCAGCAGGGATTCTGGTGACCTGATAACTGTAGCAATGAAAAGGCAACGTTCAGCAGGGATTCTGGTGACCTGATAACTGTAACAATGAAAAGGCAACGTTCAGCAGGGATTCTGGTGACCTGATAACTGTAGCAATGAAAAGGCAACGTTCAGCAGGGATTCTGGTGACCTGATAACTGTAACAATGAAAAGGCAACGTTCAGCAGGGATTCTGGTGACCTGATAACTGTAGCAATGAAAAGGCAACGTTCAGCAGGGATTCTGGTGACCTGATAACTGTAACAATGAAAAGGCAACGTTCAGCAGGGATTCTGGTGACCTGATAACTGTAGCAATGAAAAGGCAACGTTCAGCAGGGATTCTGGTGACCTGATAACTGTAACAATGAAAAGGCAACGTTCAGCAGGGATTCTGGTGACCTGATAACTGTAACAATGAAAAGGCAACGTTCAGCAGGGATTCTGGTGACCTGATAACTGTAACAATGAAAAGGCAACGTTCAGCAGGGATTCTGGTGACCTGATAACTGTAGCAATGAAAAGGCAACGTTCAGCAGGGATTCTGGTGACCTGATAACTGTAGCAATGAAAAGGCAACGTTCAGCAGGGATTCTGGTGACCTGATAACTGTAGCAATGAAAAGGCAACGTTCAGCAGGGATTCTGGTGACCTGATAACTGTAGCAATGAAAAGGCAACGTTCAGCAGGGATTCTGGTGACCTGATAACTGTAACAATGAAAAGGCAACGTTCAGCAGGGATTCTGGTGACCTGATAACTGTAACAATGAAAAGGCAACGTTCAGCAGGGATTCTGGTGACCTGATAACTGTAACAATGAAAAGGCAACGTTCAGCAGGGATTCTGGTGACCTGATAACTGTAACAATGAAAAGGCAACGTTCAGCAGGGATTCTGGTGACCTGATAACTGTAACAATGAAAAGGCAACGTTCAGCAGGGATTCTGGTGACCTGATAACTGTAGCAATGAAAAGGCAACGTTCATCAGGGATTCTGGTGACCTGATAACTGTAACAATGAAAAGGCAACGTTCAGCAGGGATTCTGGTGACCTGATAACTGTAGCAATGAAAAGGCAACGTTCAGCAGGGATTCTGGTGACCTGATTTATGTCACCGCATTATGAACCTTATTGTACCCCAAAAACAGATTGTGAACCCAAATGTCTAACTGATTGTAGTGGGGGGGACAATACATTGAAAGATAAGTTGGGTTGGGTGTAGGGGCAGATTTAGGCTGTGTCATCGTGTGTTCAGGAGATTTTCTCTCTTTAGTTTATTTGGTCTTTCACAATAGCTGATGTAAGTCAATGGGCTAAAATATACAATAATTACTTAGTGTGCTTATCTCAGCAAGAACACTACTGTTATTCCCCATACTTTGATTATTTAACTTCTTACCCATGTTGCTGGTGTAATTAGGCTATTTGAAATCTGATATGCCAACTTGTGCCTTTCAAAATAAATACAATTAAAAAGTTCAATGAGGGCTATGTATTTTTGTAAGCATTTTACGGACAGTGTTGAATATAGGCCAAGTCATAAAATGAGAACAGGCTACATTGAAATGCCCCTTGCCTCAAATATCCCGTTTTGTCATTTTAGTATTGTGCACAAGCTGCTAGCCAGAAACGGTAGGCAGAAATGCGAAAGATCTTGCCTTTGTTGAGTAAGATCAGCCTCAACCACCTGATGATTGATATTTATTAGATTTTTCTTAAAATGTGGGGTAATTCGTAGAATGTCACATGAACATATTCAAACCCCTCAGTATTTGGGAAACATAGATCAGAGGTGGCCAACACTCTTGGAGGCCAACCTCTAGGCAGGATTTTCTACGGTCCTATTTTAGAGGGTTAGTTCACCCAAAGTTTGAGAGACTGCAATCCATCCTATGGTTATGAGCATTTTCTAACCCCAAAAAAATCAGTTAGCATACTCTAAATTCCATGCCCATAATCTAAAAGTAACTTCAAACCAAGTTGTCGAGTTGAGTGTATTCAACTTTAAAACAATCCTGAATACACCGGACCTGTGATTTTTTAACATTTTCATTCCGCCCTGGTCATGGGCCTCAGCCATGTGACAATATGTAGAATTGCAGGAAATTAGCTTTAAAACTGATTTATTTTTTCATGGGGGAGTGTGACCACGGGGTGGAGCCAATGACATTCACGATAGGAAATCTCACTCCAAGCTACAGTATCTTCAACAGTTGGCCAACCAGGTCCTGTAAAGGTGTGTAGTAATTTAACCTTTTGTTTTTGGGAAATTAATTCTCGCTGATATGAAAGATACGTTTCCAAAACCTTACCTCAAGCGATGCATGTTAAGGTCTATGAATGAGCTAGCTTTAGGTCTATGAATGAGCTAGCTTTAGGTCTATGAACGAGCTAGCTAAAGGTCTATGAACGAGCTAGCTAAATGTCTATGAACGAGCTAGCTAAAGGTCTATGAACGAGCTAGCTAAAGGTCTATGAACGAGCTAGCTAAAGGGATGCATACTCCAGTGTTTGGTGACCTGGGCCCGGTTTCCCGATAGCGATGGAACTTAGGCTTACGAGCGTTTTAACGATGCATCTTTCCTACAACGGCCGAAGTTGTAACATGCGTTGGCTAAGTGCGTCGTTGGAGCATGTGTCGATACTGAGAGGATCGGAAGAAAGGGAGCGCTGCTCTCGGATCGACTTTCTCCATTCAAATCTTACCAACATTAGAATTATTTCACAATACTGAAGGCAGACCAGGTCCTAGAGAGATATTACCACCTACGGCTGCAAATATTGAGGCGGCTTATTCTAATGCTTACCCAATAAAAATTCACTTAATCACAGATTTGGCACAATATTGCGCACGTTAGGCTACACATGAAATATATTGAGACAAATTACAGATAGTAGCCTACAAGTAGGTAAATAGAACTCAATTTATTGAACATGAAATGTATTTCAATGGATTGAAATAGGTCTATAGCCTACTGTTTATACTGCAGTCATCTCCGTTTTCATTTGAAGCATAATTTCATGTCACTTGTTTGTATCAATTGCAAGGACATTGGCAAGTGATCAGTGGTCACAGAGAGACGGATA